GGGGGTGGGGTCTAGGCATTGTGCTTTTGTCAGCATACTCTTGAGCTTTTAAGTCTACTATGTCTGAACTGTGGTTTCTTGTTTATCCTTTTTTTCTTTAGTTGGACTGTAATGTATGGTCTGTCAACCTGTGAATCTTTTAAAGTATGATTCAGGTATTGTTGTATTCTTTACTGTGTAATAAAAATGTTAAAAATCTGTATTCCTACCTTCTCCGTGGAACTTCATTCCTGATGTTCCCTCTGTGAATGGTACTTTGTGAATCACTAGCCTCAGCGCCGGAAAGTGTCACTGGAAGTGCTGCCTTCGATCACAGGATCGTGTGATCTCATTTTTTCTAGCTTCTGAATGAGACAGGACAGCCTTGGTGTCAGGTTCTTGAGGGGATCTCGCTGAGTTTTAGATTGTGGCCACATCCAGCTAACTCAGATCTGTTTCTTATTTGTGGCAGGGGGGGACCTCTTAAGAAAACCCCCCCAAATGCTGATACTTAAGAACTTGCATCAGAGATGTGCTTTGCCTTCAAAGTCAAACTAATGCGTAGATTAATGGCTGTCATAAGCCATATCTGGTTTTAATGGTTCCTCTGCACTTGAGCTTTTGCACAGAATCATCCGAGGCATCTATTTCTATTTTTAACTTAATGGGAATACTCACTAAGAAAGTGAAGCACCTTCCCGGCGGTGTAGACTGAGCAGTAACTTTTACAGCCTTTGTCCAGTGCAGTTCCCAAGGGTACTCTCTGGTACATGCAGGGCTTAATTAACCATGCTATCTCCAGAAGTAAATCCATCTATAGCATGATTGTTACGAAATTAAGGCCACCCTAGCAGGAGGAGAACACCATCAACGTGATTTCCATTTATATGCAGTATTTGGCCCTAGCTCTACCATGGTCTGCTCCCAGGAACTTCGTGTGAGTGCACAGATTTTGCTGATTGCACTCAAACATCAGTGTCTTGCCAGTGTAAACCATCCTCCCTGGACTCTTGTAACTCTCTTGCTTCTTGTTGTAGACGCATAGTATTTTTTAAGACGTTAAATAATGACCTTGACGTCTAAGATATTTAAATTGGGATTTGAGAATAGAATTACCATCACTCCCCACCCCTTGCACCCCCCAAAAGAGGAGAGGAAGCGTGTGCATTATTAAGCCTATTTAATGGATCCACACATATTAGAAGGGTCTTATTTCAGTTTGGGTTTGCAGCAGAATCGTAGATAAAAACCAAATGTCCCTAAGAGTGATACAGAGCATCAGCTCTTCACCTTGTTAAACAGAGGAGGTATTTTTTGTTCATTTTGCAAGTTGGTGTAAGGTAAAGAGGAGGCACAGTGGCATAAATAAATGCATTGTGAAGACACATGAAATGAGTTTTTATTTTTTTTAATGTCGGAACTCCAGCACTGAACTAAGCCTTCTTTTAAGGCTCTTACCTGCCTCCTAGTAATCCAATTCATTTTGCTGATCATCGGTACAATCTGTACTCTTGAAAGCATTTTGGTGTGTAGAGTTTCTCTAAGAAAGAGCCATTCTCAAGTGTTTGTGAATGGCCGCGCTGAAATGGGGAGCTCTTCTGTGTCTCAGCAGGGGCCATGGCCTTGACTCTAGAAGGGTCCATTGCCAAGTGAGAGCTGGTTTGTGACCCTTCCAGTTATACTGCCATTAAATGGCATTTAGAGTGGAAACGGAATTTGAGCGCAGAGTTGTCAGTTTTCAAACCCCAGGCTTCAGGTAATGGAAAATACTGACGGCTTACGCCATGCATTGGGAAATGCTAACTATGAAGATTGAGAGGTTCTGCCCTTGGATTGACTTTTTCTTCTGTTCACTGCAGTGCCTGACTTTGTGAGCTGTGGGGCAGGTAAGATGTAGGCTTTTTACCATTTTTACTCTTTTTTTTTCCCCAACCCATAGTTCAAAAGTGCCTGATCCAGTGTTAACAGAGCAAACTGACGGTGCAGCATCAGCACCTGTAATTGCTTTTTTTCTGCTGCAGTGTGAGATGCATCAGCCAAAACCAGTGTGCTTTGCTTCTTATTTTGGGATCTTTGGAGAAGTGGTGGCAAATTTAAAATGTCTGCCAGAAGGGAAGGAAACCTGGTGAGATTTGAGCCAGGAAGTTACCTGTTTGCTGCTTCATCTCCCCTTCTCCAAGGCATACCCAGGAGGGTTAGGTCATGCTTACAAGCCGACCAAAGAGGAGCTGAATGGTAAACTCAAGCTTTGAGTTTTGTACATCTTGCTGCAGCTGCTTTCCTGTTCCTGTAGCTCCCTTAGGTTTCTCCGTTGGTTATTCCAGCTCTCGGACTGTTGATTCATGTGATGTATGCACCATGTTTGGAGCTGAATTTCCTCATGTGTATTTGGCGCAGCAGTAGGAACAAACAGCAACCACTGAATCACTGGGGTTTCCTTTACATGGCTGTACTCTTAGCACGCAAGGTCAGTACCACTACTGAGCTCGAGAAGAGCCAGAGCGTGCTCTCCCCCATTGCACCCAGCCAGAGCCCGTGTCCCTGCCGTGCAGCGGCCACCCCAGGCAGAGAGAGGCCATTTCTGAGTGGGTCACCACCGGCAGTGGATTTTGCTGTTCCCTTCGTACAGCCAAAGCAGTGTCGTGTGACGGGAGACAGAGCCAGCTGAGCACTGAACCCGTTCACCTCCTGTTCTCAGAAGGGTTTTCCTCCCACCCCCTTCCTACATCTTCTCTTCACCAGTCTTGTTCACAGGACCTTCCCGTCTGAGCTAGCTCTCCTCCGGTGACACGCACAGAGCAGGCGAGACAGCAGCTCTGCCCTGGTTGCTTCATCCCACGTTGCACTAAAGTGAATAGGTAAGGACTATATTTCTGCGTATCCTGTGCTGTGCTGTCCAGACTTTCTGCCTCCCCCAGCTCACTGCCCCATGAGGCTGGGTTTGGGAGAGAGAGGAGGAACCGCTGAGGCAAGGGTGGCTGGAAGGAAAGCCAAGGTGCTATGGTTCGCTAGGTGGGCCTGAACCAGGCTGGGCTACAGTGGGCTGGGTGAGAGGAGACCTGTGG